TCAGTATGCAGCTGCATAAGGAGCTTAGAGGGTATGTGATCGCTTATAAATCAGGGAAAAAGGGTATTTATAATTGTGTTTTATTTCTATGCACAAATGTTTTGCCTTTCATTTCTATTTTAAAACTGAATGGGGTTGTTTTATAAGGTGAGGGTTTACATCTACTTTAACTAAAACAGAATAAAATACTCTACTGCTCTGTATCAAAGTAAAAGTTGCAAGAACAATAATTAAAAAGGCTGCAAAAAGAAACAGACTTTTAATGAACGTCTTACACTGGCACCTGGTGTAGAAAAGAATCTTATATATTTTGCAATGGCTTACTGGAAACACATTTAAGAGTCCAAGCTTATTGAGTGTCATTTTTGCTCTTGAATATTTCTAATTACAGTTGTGTGTTGAATAATGTTTATTTAACCACACTTTGCCCACCAGAGGATTTCCCCCCTTCCTGACCCAGGCCATTTTTGCGTTACTTTAACTGACAATTGCGCGGCCAAACAATGCTGTACATAAATTTGCATCCTTTTTTTTCACAAATGAGCTTTCTTTGGGTGGTATTTGATTGCCTGTACATTTTTTATATTTTGTGCTGCAAACAAAAAAATGCCGTCAATTTTAAGAAAGAAACAATATGTTTGACTTTTTGCTATTAAAAAAATGTAAAAAAATCAAATTTTGTCATAAATTTTTAGGCCAAAATGTATTCTGCTCTATGTGTTTGCTAAAAAAAAAAAATCCCAATACATGTAAATTAATTGGTTTACGTGAAAGTTATAGCGTTTACAAATGGCGGTATATTGTACAAAAATTTAATTTTTTTTTTACTAGAAATGGCGGAGATCAGCGACTGCGGGACTGCGGTGGGCATTCTGGACACTGGGGGAATTGACTTGGTGTCACTGACATCCCCAGTGACACAAATACAGTGATCAGTGCTAATAAAAAGCACTGACACTGTACTAATGGCACTGGGCAGGAAGGGGTTAACATGTTGGGCGATCAAAGGGTTAAATGTGTGCTGTTTCGCATTATGTGCTATGTGTGTGCTTCATTGTAAGCACACTGCTTTGTATGGCTCTGCTAAAAAATTGAGATCCCGGCAAACAAGAATTTACACTCTAAAGAAACGGATGTATAAGGGGAAAGAGTGTACAAATCTTTCTATGTATATAGATCAGGGGCGGACTGACCATTTGGGTACTCGGACAATGTATGAGACAATACATTTTTTTGAGGAAATAGAGCTGTTGGTTACTCCTACGCCTGCATCTCATTATTGGCAGATTGTAACCAGGAAGCTTGTGATAAAGACAGAGTGCAATGTTCCAGAAAAGTATGTGGTTAACAATTAATATTTCACTCACTTCTCCCAAGCAGCGAGTCTAGTCAGTCAATGTAACGTTTCCATGAAGACAGGACTTACAAAAGCACAGAAAATACTTCAAGAGAACGTCTCAGTCCAAAGTTATTAAATATAGGCACCACCATCACCAGCATATAAAGGGAAAACAAAAAAATCATCAGAAATGGGTTTGCTGATCCCCTGTGTTCTTCTTCTTTCAATTTCAGGTAAGATGCTTCGAGATTTAATATACTTTAATTGGTGTTGGACTGCGTTATATTCACCACCTGGACTAAACAAGTGAGAAACCATTTCACCAGCTAAAAATCATAACAGAACAGGGCAGCAACGGCTTACTCATTAGAGCGTAGTTTGTATTGCAGTTGGGTTTTTTTTATGGTGTTACTTAAAATACCTTTATATATTTTTGTATATTTATGTTTGTTATACTCATCCAAGCATATCCAAATCAGAGTATTCTAATTTAATCATGCCATATGTTTAGAAAATAATATTCATAAAGTAAAATATAATTTTTAGGAATTTCATTTAGGTTTTTAAGTAATATTAATGTATTGTTGAATGTATAATTTTTATTATAATTTGATTTAATAGCTTGTAATTCCTGTTTATCACAACTGGAAAAACTATTTAAAATAGGTAAAGTGAGCAAAAGGTTTGCTGGACAAGCTTGAAATGAATGACCATATCGACTCCCTAGGGATAGTAGTAAGTAGTAGGTATAAAGCTTTGAGTTCCTTGGTACCAGGAGAGGTTTTTTTAAAAGCATAAAGCACAGCACTGAGATATGGCCAGCAGGCTTTCAAGGGCCAAATAGGGGGCTTTTGGTAAGCCAGCCCTCTCACCTTTCAAAGGGAGCACAGAGCAGTCAAGGTGTTAGGAATGGACTGGCCAGCAATGGTGGGACTCACCTGCCTTTTGATCTGCAGTACCAGGGCTGGCCAGCCGGTGCTCCAGCAATCAGAGACTCAACCTTTCAGCCAGCTAACACCTGGAACTGATGATGCTGGGGTATTTTAAGGGATGGCCAGACCACAGACTCTGCCTTGGTGTGTGTTTGTCCCTGGGCCCTGTATCTGTCCTGCATCCTGTTTTCTGGCCCTCTGCCTGACCCTCTGTACTACGCTGCTTGTTACCTGTTTTGATCTCTGGCTTGTGACCCTGACCATCCCTCTGCCTGACCCTCTGTACTACGCTGCTTGCTACCTGCTGAACCTGGCCTGTGACCCCGACCATTCTCTGCTTGCTCCCCCTGTACCTACCTGCCCAATTGATATGACCCGGCCTGCCTGACGACGCTTGCTTGTATGTACTGTTTATCTGTGGGTGGTTGGTTGGGTTTTGTTTGCACTGTATTATGTTTAGTATTGCACTGCGTTTATGTTTGTATGGTTAGTGTTAATAAATTGTATTGTTTTTATCACATATCTGAAAGTCTGCGTTTCCCTGCATCATTCACACAACACCTCTGTCATACCTGGGAGCCCTGACATTACACCAAGGCCAATCCTGACCAAAAGTGGCTGCACAGGAAGCCATACTTGGCTTGTTGATGGGAAGGATGGATCTTGATGAGGTTGAATATTTATATCTGTCTAGTGTTTGATGACAGGAGTATGCTTATCAAACTCTGAAGGAGTATCCCCGGGATGAACTGCTAGAATGTATACGGCTCGCTCATGTTCTAAGTAGATCAGGGCACAGAGTTCTCTGAGGTGCAGCCTTTGATTGAGGTTTGTGCTGAGTTGTTTCATCTGGTTCCCCCCGAATTGCAGGGATGAATTTTTGCCACCATTTAGTGCAGACCAGGGTAGAGTCCCTGGTGTGGTTATTAGAGGATGATGTGGGTTACTTTCTGGAGCGTTATTCCACATGTTCACCACAGACACTAAGAGATTGTATAAACGCAGTACAGTCATTGACCAGACAGGCTTTGTGTAAGCTCAGCTTTGTTCAACCCATACTGCAGACATGGACAGATTTGTTGCACCCAGCCTCAGTCAGCTTACAAAGACCCAGTCCTGCTTCTAATCCATTTCCTCAAAAACTCTATTCCTGCATTCCCAACAGCTCCTCCTGCCCTGCTATCTACCGCATGTCAGTACCCTTGTTCCCACTCGCTGCACCTATCCTGCCTTTAACCCTGTAAAAGATCCCTCTGTAGCAACCGCTCCCTCTCCTGTTCCATCCTCCAGTTCTTCTCTGTCTCCAGCTGCTCCATTCGTTTGCAGACCTGCGTTTACTTGCAGTGCTCCAGTAGTTAAAACCAGAAAAAAGCGAAAATTCTTTCCAACCAATACCATCCTGCCAGTATCCAAACCGGTGAGCCTGCCTTCCGTGGTTCATCCTGAAGCCTCTACTCAGCCTGAAGCCTCTACTCAGCCTGAAGCCTCTACTCAGCCTGAAGCCTCTACTCAGCCTGAAGCCTCTACTCAGCCTGAAGCCGGTACGCAGCCCTGATGCCTCTCTTCAGCCCTGAAGCCTCTCTTCAGATCTCTTCCTGATGCCGTCTACTCAGGCCTGAAGCCTCTACTCAGCCTGAAGCCTCTCTTCAGCCTGATGCCTCTCTTCAGCCTGATGCCTGTATGCAGCCTGATGCCTCTCTTCAGCCTGATGCCTCTCTTCAGCCTGATGCCTCTCTTCAGCCTGATGCCTCTCTTCAGCCTGATGCCTCTCTTCAGCCTGAAGCCTCTACTCAGCCTGAAGCCTCTACTCAGCCCTGAAGCCTCTCTTCAGCCTGATGCCGGTACGCAGCCTGATGCCTCTACTCAGACCGGACGCCGGCATTCAGCCTGATGCCTCTACCCAGCATGAAATGAACTGATCCAGCCTGACGATCCTATTAGGCCAGTTGACTCGATGCCCGCTGTTGATCCAGATGATCCGGTACCTGATCCGGTGCCCGCTGTCGAGCCAAATGACCTGGTGACCCAGTGCCCCGCTGTCATACCTGGTGACCCGATGCCTGCTGTCGAGCCAGACAATCCGGTACCTGATGACCCGGTGCTCACTGTCGTGCCTGTTGACTCAGAGCCCACTGAGGCCTTGCCAGATGACGCGGTGCCCGCTGTCGAGCCAAATGACCTGATGCCTGGTGACCCAGTGCCCGCTGTCCAGCCAGACGATCCAATGTCTGACCCAGTGCCCGCGGTCATACCAGTTGACTCAGAGCCCACTGCCTTGCCAGATGACGCGGTGCCCGCTGTCGAGCCAAATGACCTGATGCCTGGTGACCCGATGCCCGCTGTCCAGCCAGACGATCCAATGTCTGACCCAGTGCCAGCGGTCATCCCAGTTGACTCGGAGCCCACGGTTGTGCCTGGTGACTTGGTGCCCGCCGCCCCGCCTGGGGGCCTGAGACCTGTCGCTCCGCCTGGGGGTCCGGCGCCCGCCGCTCCGCTTGAGGGGCCCGAGACCTGTCGCTCCTCCTGGGGGTCCGGCGCCCGCCGCTCCGCCTGAGGGCACGAGACCTGTCGCTCCGCCTGGGGGTCCGGCGCCCACAGCTCCGCCTGAGGGCCCGAGACCTGTCCCGCTCCGCCTGTGGGTCCGGCGCCCGCCGCTCCGCCTGAGAGGGCCCGAGACCTGTCGCTCCGCCCTGGGGGTCCGGCGCCCCGCCGCTCCGCCTGAGGGCCCGAGACCTGTCGCTCCGCCTGGGGGTCCCGGCGCCCGCCGCTCACCGCCTGAGGGCCCGAGACCTGTCGCTCCACCTGGGGGTCCGGCGCCCGCCGCTAGAATCCGCCTGAGGCCCGAGACCTGTCGCTCCTCCTGGGGTCCGGCGCCCGCCGCTCCGCCTGAGGGCCCGAAGACCTGTCGCTCCATCTGGGGGTCCGGCGCCCGCCGCTCCGCCTGAGGGCCCGAGACCTGTCGCTCCGCCTGGGGGTCCGCGCCCCCGCCGCTCCGCCTGGGGGCACGATGCCTGTCGCCCTGCCTGGGGGCACGATGCCCGTCGCCCCTCCTGGGGGCCCAGCGCCGGTCGCCCCGCCTGGGGGCCCGACGCCGTTCGCCCCGCCCGGGGGCCCGGTGCCCGCTGCTCCGCCCGGGGGCCCGGTGCCCGCTGCTCCGCCCGGGGGCCCGGTGCCCGCTGTGCTGCCCGCCCGGTCCGCCCGGTGCCTGTCGCCCCGCCCGGGGGCCCGGTGCCTGTCGCCCCGCCCGGGGGCCCGGTGCCTGTCGCCCCGCCCGGGGGCCCGAGACCTGTCGCTCCTCCTGGGGGTCCGGCGCCCCGCCGCTCCGCCTGAGGGCACGAGACCTGTCGCTCCGCCTGGGGGTCCGGCGCCCCCACAGCTCCGCCTGAGGGGCCCGAGACCTGTCGCTCCGCCTGTGGGTCCGGCGCGCCGCCGCTCCGCCTGAGGGCCGAGACCTGTCGCTCCGCCTGGGGGTCCGGCGCCCCCGCCGCTCCGCCTGAGGGCCCGAGACCTGTCGCTCTGCCTGGGGGTCCGGCGCCCGCCGCTCCCGCCTGAGGGCCCGAGACCTGTCGCTCCACCTGGGGGTCCGGCGCCCGTCGCCCCTCCTGGGGCCCCAGCGCCCGCCGCCCCGCCTGGGGGCCCGACGCCGGTCGCGCCCCGCCCGGGGGCCCGGTGCCCGCTGCTCCGCCCGGGGCCCGGTGCCCGCCTGCTCCGCCCGGGGGCCCGGTGCCCGCTGCTCCGCCCCCGTGCCTGTCGCCCCGCCCGGGGGCCCGGTGCCTGTCGCCCCGCCCGGGGGCCCGGTGCCTGTCGCCCCGCCCGGGGGGCCCGGTGCCTGTCGCCCCGCCCGGGGGCCCGGTCGCCCCGCCCGGGGGCCCGGTGCCTGCTGCTCCGCCCGGGGGCCCGATGCATGTCGCCCCGCCCGGGGGCCCGGTGCCTGCTGCTCCGCCCGGGGGCCCGGTGCCTGCTGCTCCTCCGCCTGGTGGCCCGCTGCCTGCTGCTTCACCTGGTAATCCGATGTGCCTCTGCCCGGAGTCCTGCCCGATGTGCCTCTGCCCGGGAAGTCCTGCCCGATGTGCCTCTGCCCGGTGTCCTGCCCGATGTGCCTCTGCCCGGAGTCCAGCCCGGTGTGCCAGTCTTTGATATCCCGCCAGTTACCAGACCCGGGCGGTGGAACATTTTGCCCAGCTAGGACTGTTTGGAGCGTCCTGAGGCCGCTCCTTGGGGGGGGGGGGGGGGGGTACTGTTAGGAATGGACTGGCCAGCAATGGTGGGACTCACCTGCCTTTTGATCTGCAGTACCAGGGCTGGCCAGCGGGTGCTCCCAGCAATCAGAGACTCAACCTTTCAGCCAGCTAACACCTGGAACTGATGATGCTGGGGTATTTAAGGGATGGCCAGACCCACAGACTCTGCCTTGGTGTGTGTTTGTCCTGGGCCCTGTATCTGTCCTGCATCCTGTTTCTGGCCTCTCTGCCTGACCCTCTGTACTACGCTGCTTGTTACCTGTTTTGATCTCTGGCTTGTGACCCTGACCATCCCTCTGCCTGACCCTCTGTACTACGCTGCTTGCTACCTGCTGAACCTGGCCTGTGGAACCCCGACCATTCTCTGCTTGCTCCCCCTGTACCTACCTGCCCAATTGATATTGACCCGGCCTGCCTGACGACGCTTGCTTGTATGTACTGTTATCTGTGGGTGGTTGGTTGGGTTTGTTTGCACTGTATTATGTTTAGTATTGCACTGCGTTTATGTTTGTATGGTTAGTGTTAATAAATTGTATTGTTTATCACATATCTGAAGTCTGCGTTTCCCTGCATCAGTCACACACCTCTGGTCATACCTGGGAGCCCTGACACAAGGTGTCAGTAAATTAGAAGCTGCTGTAGGAAAGAAAGAGGTAAGCTGCTGTCTTGTTCTTGGGTAGAGTTTGTGTGTGTGTGTGTGTGTGTGTGTGTGTGTGTGTGTATATGTATATGTGTGTGTGTGTGTGTCTGTGTGTGTGTGTGTATATATATATATATGTATTTATTTTTTTAACGTTGATAGGACCTTTATTTTGGATTAAACTGCTTTTTTGCTGAAAGCTTTACCTTGGTACTTGAGTTTTCACTTTTGTTTTTAGTTTGGTAATAGCGCCTTTTACACTTTAGGTGCATATACTTGTTACTAACCAGCACTGCATTATTATATAGTGTGTGTGTGTGTGTGTGTGTGTGTGTGTGTGTGTGTGTAAAATATTTATTTATGTTGCTAAGGCCTTTGCTTTGGATTAAACTGCTTTTTTACTGAAAGCTTTACCTTGGTACTTTGAGTTTTCGCTTTTGTTTTTAGTTTGGTAATAGTGCCTTTTAACACTTTGGGTGCATATACTTCTTACTAACCAGCACTGCATTATTTATATACTGTGTGTGTTTATAAATATATATATATAATAATATTTATTTATGTTGCTAAGGCCTTTGCGTTGATTAAACTGCTTTTTTGCTGCAAGCTTTACCTTGGTACATTTGTTTTCTATTTTTTTTTTGGTTAAATATTTTGTAGTGATAGTGCCTTTTTTACACTTTGGGTGCATATACTTGTTACTAACCAGCACTGCATTGTTTGAAAAAACAAATAGGTGCAACAACAGTGTGCACCTGAACAATTTTGCATTATATCACTCAAGTATACCGCACTCCCCTATCCCCATAGATAAAATAAAAATGTATGCACACACCAGTTGGGCCAATTATTTTTGATTAGAGCAGTCTGCTGCTGACCAATTTTACATGACTAGTGTAGAAGAGATGTGTTGTCAAATACTAACACCCCCAAAAACATACTTTCCCAACTTCCGAAAAAAAAACCCATTTCCCAACACTCCCTCCACCAATAAAAGGAGACCACACTTTGTTGGAGTAAAATGGCCTTCACGACCTTTTATTAACAATTTAACTTAAATATACAGAAAACATTCCTTAAAACAGAAACCTCCAAAAACCTTTGGAATGAGTTGTTGGTCTAGGCAGGCACCCAAAACAATATTGATCTCCCCCTGCGGAACCTTCACCTTAATGTTCCCACTAGCCTCCAGCCACAACGCACCGACTCGGAGACAAGGACACACCTTCCGCAGGTAGACCTCCACCTTCCACTTGAACCTCGGTTAACTGGAATTTACCTCGGGCACACCATACCACAGATGGGTCCCAACCATACACTTATCATCACAAACCATTAACAACCTACCAAGACCAACAAATGCCACCAAACTAAACAAGCCGAACAGAACAAACACCCCAGGGTAGGGCGGGGGCGGGAACTTCTCTCTTCAGCTGCTAACCAGCACTGGCTTGTCCGACCCCCCAGCACTCCCCCAAGATTCAGGATGAAACCCACATCTACTAACACCAATCAGGTAACCTTACTATCTTTTTTAACCCTTCCCCTTTAACTTAACCCTTTCCTGTTTTTTCTCCCTCTTCACCTAGTTATGTCTGCCCTGGGCTATTCTTCTCTTTCTTTCTTTCGCTACGGGCACCCCTTTGCTGAATCCATTGTAGTATTTACATTTTTGTAGAAAAACTCCAGCTTGTACTTTTGTCTCTAGTAAATTTGGGTGTAGCCTTGCTATTTAAAGGGTACGTTCACCTTTCATAACATGTTATATGTTATATCCATATTCAGGGTGTAACATGTTATGATCAGACCAGCCCCCACTCCTCCATTTTGACAGCCAGCAAGGGTTCTTTTCACTCACCTCCTCCCCGTGCTCTGTGAATAAGAAACTACAAATCCCAGCAACCTTAGCGGCTGTCAGCTTGTATTTCTCAATGAACTACCACGGCGCTGTGGAGCACTGTGGTAGTTCATTGAATCTTCCTGTCAGTATATCTGCCTCTACAGGGAACCACAAAAAAAAAAAAAAAAAAGAAGCTGAACAAAATCCAAAACGCGTCAAAAACGCAACAAAATGCGTCAAAAGCACGCGTAGAAAAGCCTCAAACTACTGTATCATCTGTTGTCTCTTGAAGTAAAACACCAGCTTGTACTCTTTTTCATTGGTAATTTTCATTGTCCCTCATTATAAATATCCGCTACTAGCCAAGTTTATGTTGCTGTATTATCTATGATCTCTAAATTCTTAAAGTGGAAGTAAACAGCCAGATAAAGTGTTTTTTCTCCTATGCCACTCTCAAAACTGCTTTAAAAGAACTCTATTAAAAAGAAGTTCTTGCTGTACAGTACTTTTTTTTTTAATTTGTGTATTTTCAATGTTTCCCCTAAATCACAAGGCGCTCTCCGTGCCGCATTGTATTTTTTAAAAGTGTTTTTTGTATTGGTATACAGTGTCTCCTCCTCCATGGTAGCTTTCCAAGATCTTTTATGCACTAATTCACCTATTAGCCCTACAAATTGCCAGAATTTAAAAGTATTTGCTGCCCATAGACTTCAATAGGATTAATCTCTAAGCAGTAATTTGGGTTTTGCCAATGACTAGTGGGTAAGGCTAGGTTCACACCTATGCAGTTTGTGTTTGATTTGTTTCTGCAGTGCTTTTTGTGGTGAGTTCTGCGTTTTTGACACATTTTGAGGGTTTTTTTGCTTGTCGCTAGGCAGATTAAAACGCAAAACTCATAAAAGACGTAGCAAAAACGCACTACATGCTCTTCTGCAGCATCTCCATTGCAGTCTGTAGAGCCAAAAACATAACTTTTTGCCTTTAAAAAAGTTCTTGACCCTTTCCAAAAAAGGCACTGGGTGAAAATGCGGAGATGTGAACGTGTCCCATAGGAAATCATGTTAAATGGACTGTAGTACGTTTTCTGGAAAATGCTGTGGAAAACGCTTGGGTGTTATTATTATTATTATTATACAGGATTTATATAGCGCCAACAGTTTGCTCAGCGCTTTACAATATAACAGGAGACAATACAGTTCAATACAAGAGGGTTAGGAGGGCCCTAATCCTTGGTACTTACAATCTATGTGGGAGGGGCTAGTGGTACAAAAGGTAGTAACTGTGTGGGATGGACTGGTAGGAGGAATAGAAGATTACATTATTAGCTGAGGGCAGGATAGGCTTCCCTGAAGAGATAGGTTTTCAGAGATCACCTAAAAGTGAGCAGAGTAGGCGATAGTCTGATAAATTGGAATAGAGAGTGCCAGAGGATGGGGGAAGCTCTGGAGAAGTCCTCGAGATGAGCATGGGAGGAGGAGACAAGGGAGCTAGAGAGCAGGAGGTCGTGCGAAGAGCGGAGAGTACGGTTTGGGTGTGAACCTAGACTAAGACAGTTTACCTGAGGGAATGTCAGAAGGGTACTAGGATGTATGCTTTTCATAGAATTTGCTACTTATTTATATTATTTAAAAAAATTTAAACTAATCCATCTTTTCATTTCAAAATTACCCTTGCTACATTCTAGAATTCCGTTTTGTTCACTAGGCAGAAAAAAAAGAAGGCTTTTACAGGGTTCAAAAGGCAAATCTATTTGCCTTTAAAGATGTCCATCTTAGCAAATAAACAGCATACTGTAAAAAAAAAAAAACATAATTAAAAACATTAATGCTTGTCGAAAACAGTGGTAATGTTTCTTGAGATAAGTGCAGAATAGTGTATGCATGAAGGCTCTAATAGCGGAAAGTCTTGGAGGCTGGTTTACCGAAGGGACAATTTTCACCTTCAGATTTTTCAATGTTTCAAAGCCTGAGGGCTAGTTCACATTAGATGCTGTCCAGTGCTTTTTTGTTTCTGCATCAAAAATGCATGCACAGTGTTTTCCGTGTAATCCAATGGCCCTAGTTCACACCAGTGCAGTCAGTTCCAGACAGTTTCCAGTGTAGCAAAAAAAAGTAGAACATGCTGCATTTTTTCTGCACAGAACCGTACTGGAACATAGCCAACTGCATTAAAACTGTGTGTGTGGTGTGAACTGTACGCAAAAACGTATCCGGAATCCATGCGTGCATTTTTGTGGTGTGAACCGCCCCTCAGTCTCTACCATTCTTACAGGATATCGTATGTACTCTCCAGCGCCTCAGGATATGCACAGCCAAAAGGGAAGCCAAGGGTACCAGGACAGCGACAACCTAAAGAATTGTTCCAGGGGTGCAGCCCTCCTCAGACGGGGAAATCAGCCACTGGATAGAGAGAAAACAGGTGGCGCACACACCTAGTGCATTATCCAAGGTTTATTGTAGGAGTGAAAGAATAATAAAAACATACTAACAGACGAAGCATGTATCTAAAAAGCATAGAAAAATGACAATGGCCACAACGGCAGGCAAGGTGTTCTCACTGTCAGCGCGGTCAAATACTGACGCGTTTCGGGGACGAATCCCTTTCCTCAGAGCTGATGACCAGCCTGTATGGAGGTCAAGTAGTAAATAACCAGCAAAGCTCCACCTCCTCTATTTGTTATAAGATGAGGGGTTGGAGGGGGTTATTTAAAGTGCAATCTTTGTAGTTTTTATAATCATTGCCAGTGTTACTACTACGATTATTTTTATACATTTTATTTAAAAAAAAATTTTCTATTTATCTACATTTGCAGGTGCTATATTCATGTATTTTTAATAATTTTTTATTTGCTTTGTCTCTTAGTGCATGTATGTATCTTTGTATATGTGTATATGCATGTGTATATATGTATGTATATGCGTTTATAAAAACTACAAAAGGTTGCACTTTAAATAACCCCCTCCAACCCCTCATCCTATAACAAATAGAGGAGGTGGAGCTTTGTTCCCAAGGCATCTAGCCCTGGTTATTTACTACTTCACCTCCATACAGGCTGGTGATCAGTTCTGAGGAAAGGGATTCGTCCCCGAAACGCGTCAGCAATTTGACCGCACTGACAGTGAAAACACCTTGCCCGCCGTTGTGGCCATTGTCATTTTTCTATGCTTTTTAGATACATGCTTCGTCTGTGAGTATGTTTTTATTATCTCATTCCTACAATAAACCTTGGATAATGCACTAGGTGTGTGCGCCACCTGTTTTCTCTCTACCATTCTTACAAGCTGAAAGGGCTCCACCTGGAAATTATGACTACAGTATTACGCTACAACTGTCATGAGAACAATATTGCCCTCGTGAAAATGCCAATTCTATGACTGTGTCTTGCTTCAATATTAATGATTCATAAACCCAATAAAAGCATGAAAAACATTTTTAAAAAAATCTAATCTTTCTCTTCCTTTGGTCAGTGACTTCTGAAGCCAAAGAATCAATGCTGTAGGCAGAGAATTAACAATTTTAGAAAGAGAGGTCTAAAGTGACAGCACATATATAATATTGCCAAAAGTATTGGTTGGCTTGCCTTTCCACACACATGAACTTTAATGGCATCCCATCCCATCCTTAGTCCATAGGGTTCAGTGTTGAGTTGGCCCCGCCCCTTTGCAGCTATAACAGCTTCAACTCTTCTGGGAAGGCCGTCCACAAGGTTTAGGAGGGTGTCTATGGGAAGGTTGGACCATTCTTCCAGAAGCACATTTGTGAGGTCAGGCACTGATGTCGGGGGAGGAGGCCTGGCTCACAGTCTCCGCTCTAATTCATCCCAAAGGTGTTCTATGGGGTTGAGGTCAGGACTCTGTGCAGGACAGTTAAGTTCCTCCACCCCAAACTCGCTCATCCATGTCTTTATGGACCTTGCTTTGTGCACTGGTGTGCAGTCATGTTGGAACATGAAGAGGCCATCCCCAAAGTCTTCCCACAAAGTCGGGAGCATGAAATTGTCCTAAATATCTTGGTATGCTGACGCCTTAAGAGTTCCCTTTACTGGAACTAAGGGGCCCAGCCCAACCCCTGAAAAGCAACCCCACACCATAATCCCCCCTCCAGCAAACTTTGCACTTGGCATAATGCAGTCAATCAAGTACCATTCTCCTGGAAACCGCCAAACCCAGTCGTGTCCATTGGATTGCCAGACAGAGTAGCGTGATTGGTCACTCCAGAGAACACATCTCCACTGCTCTAGAGCCCAGTGGTGGTGTGCTTTACACCACGGCATCCGACGCTTTGCATTGCACTTGGTGATGTAAGGCTTGGATGCAGCTGCTCGGCCATGGAAACCCATTCCATGAAGCTCTCTACGCATTGTTGTGCTAATCTGAAGGCCACACCAAGTTTGGAGGTCTTTAGCTATTGACTCTGCAGACAGTTGGCGACTTTTGCGCACTGTGCGCTTCAGCGTGCGCTGACCCTTCTCTGTCATTTTATGTGGTCTACCACCTTGTTATAGCTATTGTTCCCAGTTGCTTTCACTTTGTTATAATCCCACTAACAGTTGAGCGTGGAATATTTAGTAGCCAGGAAATGGCACGGATGGACTTATTGCACAAGAGGCGACCTATCACAGGACCACGCTTGGAGTCACTGAGCTCCTGAGAGCGACCCATTCTTTCACAAATGTTTGTAGAAGCAGTCTGCATGCCTAGGGGCTTGATTTTATACACCTGTGGCCATAGAGGTGATTGAAATACCTCATATAAATAAAATTTATAACATTTTTTTCACACAAACAGAGCTTTCTTTTGGTGGAATTTAATCACTACTGGGTTTTTGTTATTTATTATATAAATAAAAAAAGACCAAAAATTAAAAAACAAAAACAAAACAATGTTTTCTATCTTGTGTTATAAAACATATCAAATAAAATCAAATTTCTACATAAATTAGACCAAAATGTATTCTGCTACAAGTCTTTGGTAAAAAAAAAAATCCCAATAAGTGTATATTAATTGGTTTGTGTGAAGATTATAGTGTCTAAAAACTATGGTATATATGTATATACAGTATATATATATATATATATATATATATATATATATACAGTTGCAAGAAAAAGTATGTGAACCCCTTGGGATTACGTGGAGTTTTGCATGAATTGGGCATAAAATGTGCTCCGAACGTCATCTAAGTCACAACAATAGAAGAACACAGTCTGCTGAACATAATACTACACAAACTTTAGATGTTGCCATGGTTTAATTGCACATAACATGTAAACATTCACAGTGCAGAAAGGAAAAAGTATGTGAGGCCCTAGCTTAATGACTTCTCCCAGAGCTAACTGGAGCCAGGAGTGAGCCAACCTTGACTCCAATCAGTGTGATGATATTGGATGTGTTGCTGACAGCTGTCCTGCCCTTAAAAAACACACACCTGTTTTGGATTTACTGGTTTCAAGAAGCACTGCCTGATGTGAACCATGCCTCGCAGAAAAGAGCTCTCAGAAGACCTACGATCAAGAATTGTTGACTTGCATGAAGCTGGAAAGGGTTACAAAAGTATCTCCAAAAGCCTCGATGTTCATGTGTCCACGGTAAGACAGACTGTCTACAAATGGAGAAAGTTTAGCACTGTTGCTACTCTCCCTAGGCGTGGTCGTCCTGTAAAAATGACTGCAAGAGCACAGCACAGAATGCTGCATGAGGTAAAGAAAAATCCCAGAGTGTCAGCTAAAGACCTACAGAAATCTCTGGCACATGCTAACATTTTTGTTAACACATCTACAATAAGGAAAACATTAAACAAGAATGGAGTACATGGGAGGACACCACGGAAGAAGCCATTGCTGTCCAAAAAAGAATATTGCAGCACGTTTGAAGTTTGCAAAAGAGCACCTGGATGTTTCACAGCACTAGCGGCAAAATATACTGTGGACAGATGAAACCAAGATTGAGTTGTTTGGGAAGAACACACAACACTATGTGTGGAGAAAAAAAGGCACAGCACACCAACATCAAAACCTCATCCCCACTGTAAAACATGGCGGAGGGAGCATCATGGTTTGGGGCTGCTTTGCTGCCTCAGGGCCTGGACGGATTTTTGTCATTGATGGGAAAATGAATTCCAGAGTTTATCAAGACATTTTGCAGGAAAACGTACGACCATCTGTCTGCCAACTGAAGCTCCGCAGAGGATGGGTGATGCAACAGGACAATGACCCAAAGCATACAAGTAATTCAACAAAACAATGGCTGCAACAGCACAGAATACGCCTTCTGGAGTGGCCCAGTCAGAGTTCTGACCTCAACCCGATTGAAATGCTGTGGCATGACCTTAAGAGAGCGATTCACACCAGACATCCCAAGAATATTGCTACATTGAAACAGTTTTGTGAAGAGGAGTGGTCCAAAATTACTCCAGATCCTTGTGCAGGTCTGATCTGCAACTACAGGAGACATTTGGTTGAGGTTATTGCTGCCAAAGGAGGGTCAACCAGTTATTAAATCCAAAGGTTCACATACTTTGTCCTCCCTGCACTGTGAATGTTTACATGTTATGTGCAATTAAACATGGTAATATCTAATGTTTGTGTAGTATTATGTTCAGCAGACTGTGTTCTTCTATTGTTGTGACTTAGATGACGTTCAGAGCACATTTTATGCCCAATTCATGCAAAACTCCAAGTAATCCCAAGGGGTTCACATACTTTTTCTTGCAACTGTATATATAGATAGATAGATATTTATACACATAAAAAAAATTAAAGGAACACTTTTTAATCATAGCATCAATCCTGAGATATTGATCTGGTCAGTTAAATAGCAGAGGGGGTTGTTAATCCATTTCAGCTGCTTTGGTGTTAATGAAATTAGCAACAGGTGCACTAATTGGGCAACAATGGAATGACCCCCAACAGGAATGGTTTCACAGGTGGAGGCCACTGACATTTTTTCCCTACTCATTGTTTCGGACTGTTTTTCACTAGTTTTGCATTTGGTTAGGGTCAGTGTCACTAATGGTAGCATGAGGCGGTACCTGGACCCTACAAAGGTTGCACAGGCAGTCCAACTCTTCCAAGATGGCACATCAATAGGTGCCATTGCCAGAAGGTTTTCTGTGTCTCCCAGCACAGTCTCAAGAGCATGGAGGATTCCAGGAGACAGACAGGGCCATAGAAGGTCCTTAACCCATCAGCAGAACTCCTTTGTGCAAGGAGGATCAGGATGAACACTGCCAGAGCCCTACAAAATGACCTCCAGCAGGACACTGGTGGGAATGTCTCTGACCAAACAATCAGTAACAGACTTCATGAGGGTGGCCTGAGGGCCTGACGTCCTCTAGTGGGCTCTGTTCTCACTTTTCGGTACCATAGAGCTCGATTGGCATTTGCCATTGAACACCAGAATTGTCAGGTCCACCACTGGGGCCCTGTGCTTTTCACAAATGAGAGCATGTTCACCCTGAGCACATGTGACAGACGTGAAAGGGTCTGGAGGAGCCGTGGATAATGTTATTCTGCCTGTAACATCGTTCAGCATGACCGTTTTGGTGGTTGGTCAGTGATGGTCTGGGGAGGCATATCCATGGAGGGACACACAGACCTCTACAGGCTAGACAATGGCACCCTGAGTCATCGGGATGAAATCCTTGGACCCATTGGCAGACCCTAGGCTGGTGCAGTGGGTCCTGGGTTCCTCCTGGTTCATGACAATGCCCGGCCTCATGTGGCGAGAGTGCAGGCAGTTCCTGGAGATGAAGGAACTGATACCATTGAATGGCTCTCACGCTCGCCTGACCTAAATCCAATAGAACACCTCTGGGATATCATGTTTCGGTCCATCCGACACTGCTAGGTTGCACCTCAGACTGTCCAGGAGCTCAGTGATGCAGGCTCAGTGAGAGAAGCTGATGTGATCCCAGTGTGGCGATCTGCATCACCGCTGTGCTGAATTGATGTGCAGAGTCCCACAGCAGAAGGCCAAAAATCTGTCTCAGGAGGAGAACAGTAGCCCCCCTGTGTTCATCTCTGAATTCTGAGCTCAGAGAATGAGCCAGTCCCTTGCTGTAGAATATATCTGCTCTCCCAGCATCCTTAAGGTTTGCCTGCTCTCTGGTAGTTATAGTTCGATCAGCACTCAGAAATACAGTAATATGTATTGGCTATAGGACTACAGGTCCCAGGATCCTCTACTGTCAGAAGAACTGGATCCACTATGCTAAGAGGAAGTGATTCAGTACTGGGCACTAGGGGGAAAAGGATTAACCACAGTCTCATCTGTAAATGTCCCTGAAAGGCATTATGATAAAGTAGGTACATGCAGCCATTTGAAAAAAAATGTTGGGGTGAAGGGGGGGGGGGGGGGTGGAGGTGGCTACTTTTTGAAAAGTGAACATTTTTGTGGGTGTTTGTATTATATTTTTATTTTAACAGAAAGTATGGGAAAGTTGTTTTTTTTTTGTAAAACGTTTGTTTTTTTTTTTTCCTTTAACTAGTAAAAAATAAAAAGAGTGTTTTTTGAAAAACTAAAAAAAACCCTCTAAATGTCTCAACAAGTAGTATAAAATTCATTTGAATACAGTGTTGCATAATCAAGTCAGTCATAGTATCATAGTACTGAAAAATAATAATTGGCCTGATAAAGAGGGTGGGTGTAACATGAGGTAGTTAAAAAGAAAAATCAAAAAAATACAAATCTAGGGGTTGGGGCCTCCATTGGGGGCCCGGGGAGTGGATGCTCCAGGAGTTAGGCTTTAACTGAAGCCATCTCTGTGTTTCACTGCCCACTTAAGAGCCGCTGAGTATTTGATGCTCCTTGTCTGTTCTGAGCAGGATTTAGAAGCACAGCCCCTGATAAACACCATGGTGAAACCTTGACCAGGAGAACCCGCTGGCTCTGAAATACAAAATAATCACACAGTTTTAAAGTGAACCAATACTCTGTATTGAGGTTAACCCCTTCAAGTCCGGACACTTTCACCCCCTTCCTGTCCAGACCAATTTTCATCTTGCAGTGCTATCACACTTTGAATGACAATTGCGCGGTCATGCAACACTGTACCCATATGAAATTTTTTAGCATTTTTTTTTGAGACAGATAAAACTTTATTTTGATGGTATTTATTCGCCATTGGGATTTTTTTTTTTTTGCTATATAAATGATAAAGTCCAAAAATTTTGAAAAAAAGTGTTTGACTTATAAAATTTTTGCATATATATATATATATATATATATATATATATATATATATATATATATATAATATATATAATTTATATAATAATTATTATATATATATATATAAATATATAATATATAATAATAATATATATATATATATATATATATATATATATATATATATATATATATATAATCGTTCTTCATAAATCTTGGGCAAAATGTAGTCAGCTATCATTTTAGTAAAAAAAAAATAACCCAAATTAGTTTATAAACCAAAAATTATTATTAATTTTTTTTTAAAAAGTTAAAATTTTTATTTTTTTTATATTATTATTTATGGTTTTTTTTTAACATACTGTCACCCTAGCAGTACAGTGTCACCATAGTGACACTGTACTACTTGTGGGGGGTGATGAAAAAAAAATTCAATTTTTTTACACTGATTGCTTTTACACCCATAAAGGCTATTAAAGCAATCATTTCACCTTCTCTCTGGCTGCATTCTTGCAGTCATGAGAGAAATA